CATCCAAACATGCTACAGTTCGGGCCCATAAAGTATGTATGTAAATTAATGAGATATGCAACTCATTCAGGCACATTAGGAAAACTGATCATTATGCTATACAATTTGATCACTGAAGTATATTAAAAAGTAACAAGTAAAGTATGCAGCTTGATCATTAAAGTACGGAAAATTTACTGAACTAGTAAAGTATGAGCCTGGGATGACTTTTGTCTCACATGGCACCTCATAAATAAAGCCCACAACCACAAAGGCAAACATTCACAAACCCAAAAACCATACAGGTTTAGAATGGTTTTTCATTTTTTGCATAGAAAATAGCTGGATAAGAGGAGATGCTAAAATCTTGTGGAAATTGTTTCTAAATATTATATGCATCACGTGGATCTTTTGATGGCTTTGACATATGCTAATAAGCTTTACATTCTGATTAACTCTCTACAATACAGTCTATGGCATCTGTATGTCTAATCTGGTTTATACGAGCAGGATGCCCACTGAATTACAGCTCTGTAGAGCTTTTAGGGCTACACAACATGAAAATAGAACTATAAATAAAAGAAATAATAGAAATGTGAAATACTTTATGCCGTATGACTGCAGCTTAATATTCAGGCAAGAAAGAACTGTGGTTATGTCACTTAGCCCTGATATTGCTAACTATACAGAAGATATGAAGAAGAAGAGCTGAAAAAGGAGGAAGGAGGCAGAGAGGACATTGTCTTGGGTGGGATGCTATTAATCACCAGTGGGCTTTCAGAGGACTTTTTGTAAAAGTCCAGACTCTGGAGCTGGGAGTAAGCTTACCTGCCAGTCTAATGATTAATAAGACCTGAGTGGAGCTCTTCTGTATTAAAATAATGAAATGCAATCTGGTCTAACGCAAACTGCAGTTGGGAATCAGACATCCCCCTGCTAAAAGAGAATTTACTCACACGTCCTTCCCCACTGTGAGCTATTTCAGTTATGCAAGGGAAAAGACTAAAGAGTGTATTAAAAGCAATAGTAGAGAGAGAGCTGGTCAGGTCTACAACAGCGAGGATTTACACAAAATCAGCAAACCGGCACACCTGCATATGAGGGGAGGAGGGAATGGGATCAACTGCTTTTTGTCAGATGGCCTTCCTGGAGCTGGGGCTGTCAAGGGATTTGCTGAGCACTTAAGTAAACCTGTGTCAAGTCCAGTAGAGAGAAGAAAGAGGCCAGGTCAAGCTGAGATACCCCGAAGCTGTACCTTCCTTTCCTTCTCCACTCTGAGTAATAAACCAACAATATACTTAGAGGATACCACAACCAAAGCAGCTCAGAAAATTTATTTCTTGAAATAAAATCCCAGAAAAACTACCCTGGCACTCTAGAGCCAGTGTATTTTGGAATTTTAATTTCATTCCTGCTCTACCCCTTTTCCCTCATGATGCTTGTGCACCTACTTAAGGCTGGAAAGCAAGATTTTAAAATGATGAACTGTTCTTTGCAATGAAAGCCTTTCTTTCACTCTGTATTTACCGTGAGGAGTGGAAAAGGAGAAAGGAGGGGTAATGGTTTTGGGAACACAGTATTGGGCCACCAGATGTACTACTGATGGGCTAGACACTGCTGGGGACGCAGAGGAGTAGGGAATTCTCACTGTGGCTCCTAGTTCTCTATCCAGTTCTACCTAGGCTTATTTAATACAGCAGACATTTTAATTACATGTAGAGGATAGTGGCATTTTTCTAGACAAGATCAAGTTGGCAAGTAATCAGAAGCATTGTGTTAAATCATTTTGTCAAATCATCATATGCCATTACAAATGCTAAACACTACAGAGAGTGTTTTACCCCACAAATGTGACCTCAAAACTTGCGTATGTCTGTTGCAAACTGTTGGTCAAGAGGAAAATAGTGCATTACAAAATGAGCCCCAATAGAGTTTTCATCTTTTATTTATAATTGCGTTTATTATTGTAAGCTCTTGTTGCACACCAGATATCAAATCATCAGCCGGCTTAAATCAGCACTCAGGTTAATGGAGCTAGATTGATCATCACCAGATGAAAATACAACTCCACTTACATGCCAGTGATAAAAAAACAACCCTCTCTGTAATACTGGAGCTTTTTGATCAGAATCTGAAAGGTAGAATTGGCTGGCCGGTGAGTTACTGATTATATTGAGTATACAAACAAAATGCATTTCCACACCAACCCCCACTCAGGCAACTAACCGTGGCTGCCGCATACCAGGCAGGAGCATCGTTCATGGAAATTGGCCTGAAGATACTTCTTGTGAGGGTAAGGGACAGGCCCGTGGGCTAAGCACAGAAACCCCAACAACTGTGTAAATTGTCAAAAGGATGATTACTTCTGGCAAAGGTCATTCTCACTTACAAAGAGGAAATGCATCCTTTTTCGGGGGAGATACAAGAGGCTTCTTACACAAGCAGTTTCCCAAGACCTTTGTTTTCTGAACCTTCCCAGAAAGGGGAGAGGTCAGACATGTGACAGGACCAGAGAAGTTGTAATTTATCCTGATGTTCTGATTTACTTTATAATTAAAATTTTTCTTAATAGAAGAATCTCCCAGAAACAAGAAGGAGCTGCAGGGATGGAGCTTCGCTGAGCAGGTGTGGGTGGTAGAGCCTTCTTTTATTACTAATCAGCATAGTTATGCCATTTATAGAAAAGGACATGAGACTGTGCAGGGAACTTTCTAAAGAAGAAAAATGCAGCCCTGCTTTGAACAGCTAGTGATCTACATAGAGCCGCCCAAGAGAAAAGCCTCATCTCTCTCACTGGAAGCAGGAGGGGAAGATGAATTTACATGATCCTCTGAAGGCACCCCAAATTCTGTTACTCCATCTCAGTCGTGCGGTTAAAGTGAGACAGAAGCTAAGGACTGTGCTGCGTGTAAGCTTTGTTTCAGATGCAGAAATGACATTTAAATACATAGATGCTCAGGCCGGAGTCTGAAATTCTAGGCTCCAGCACTGCTACTTCAACCAAAGATGGTTATTTTAGCTGTTGATGGCATGCACTGAATGCATTATTTGAATGTAGTAGATGAACGTAAAAAAATGAATTAATATAAAAGGTTTTCTAGTCTTTGAGCTATGCTTTCCAAGAAGCACAAGTGATTTTTTTTTTTTTTTATTGGCTCTCTAGTTATTTTAAGATCAAAGAGTACCAGGTCTTATGAAATAAACAGAAAGCTCTTGAAATTAAATAAATTAGGAAAGCTCCCACTTTCCAACTGTATTTCTTTAAAGGGCTGCAGAGCAGTAATACTTTCCCTAAGTCTTTGGCTTCGTTAGAATAATTAAAAGCAGAGGTAGTCCGCAGGCAGAGGGTGCACCCTGTGCTGGACCAAGCCTGGCAGTCTTCATTTCCTGACAACAGAAAGGGCCTGCATGCACAGTTCCACTTCTTGCGTTTCTTCTCTGAGCAGCGCAGCTGTAATACCTATCCTGCAGATGTGTTTTATGTAAAGCGTGGTTAATTGTGAAACGTGTTATTTGCATCTGAAAATAAGGGAGTCTTTTCTGATGAGAGGCAGGCTTCTCGCGGTTCTGTAGGAAACATATTTTCTTTTCCATTCAGTTATAACGATCATGTGAGGCGTGACAAGGGAACAGGAGCTCAGGACCAAAAAGCCATCTGTTTCTTCTTTGGAATTTTGCTTTGCATAGAGCAAGAAGGTGGCAAAGCTTATACGCTTAAATGCGGAGGTATAAAATACAGTAGTAACATTCAACGTGCTATAAAGAAATGTCTTTGTGTCTTTGAACCAAAAGCAGATTATTATGTTTTTAAAACCAGAACCTCTTACCACCATGCAGTAAAAATGGCTACCACTCGTGTTTAGGAAAACTTTACTTCCAACATATTTTACATATTTAGTTTAGACAGTGCTGGTGGGTGGGAGGTTGGCTTCCATTCCTGAAAATAAGTAGCTGCATTTTCAAACTTCTGATACTGCTTTTTAATTACTATTATTGTGCCGTTCCTGAGACTAATTTTATGAGTAAATCTTCATTTCATTTTAAAAACTGAGGCTTATTGGAGGCAGAATGCAAATGTTGAATAGACTTCATTGATGTTTAATTTTATGTAGTTTTTTGCATGCACAGCGAAACTTCTGGTGTTTTCAGGTATGTCTGTAGAAAAGCATAGCAGTTCTTCATTCTGCGGTTTATTCTAACCAACTGTATTTTGTAGGTTCTGTCTCTGCTTGCCTTATGACCTTTTACTGCATTTACTCAAAATGTAGACTTTCTCACTGCAGAATGCATAATGGGAGTTTACTTACCAGGAATAAGCTTTGGTGCTAGATTTTAAAGGCAGCACACTGGCATTAAGTTTGAAAGCAACACATGGAAAATAGGATCCGTACACACCTTGTGCAAGCTTTAACACACTTCTCTGCTCTTCCCTTACACATTCTGTACTTTTGCAGTCTTCAGCTGCAATGTTTAGCTGCCATATTCCTACTGTGGATGACCAGATTAAAAAGGACCGCAGTGAATATACCTGGGACTTAGAAATGAAAGGGAAATAATTGCCCTCTCTTTCATTTCAGGACTGAAGTGCCTTGTAAATCAAAGAGATTTTCACTGTGTGCTAAGAACTATTCAGATGAGAAGAATACGTTTGGGATATTTGGGCTAGTTAGCGCCCACTTCCCTTTTTCTGCATTAGCAGAATAGCCCTCTTTGTAAAATCACCCAATTTTTTAGACCTTTGTAAAAGTTTAGATCAGTCTTGGAATTCTGTGCTTTTGTTGGCCTGTCACCAGTTGGATCACGTTTATAGTGAGTCTATTTTTCCCCTTAACTACTTGCATAGCCCCTTTTCTCTTTTGTGGTATAAGCCAGAATTCCTGGAAGCAGGTTTTACTGCCTGCGGGATCTCCAAGGCCGCCTTCTCTGTGGACTCCTCTCTCTTCGGCTGGCTGAGTGCCACACCATGATTTATAATTTATTCACTAGATCCATTACTGATTCTGTGTGTATGTTTTGTCTAGACTGAGGAAGGGCAAAAAGTCATTCTGCCTAAATTTTCTTGGGAGCCGTCAGAGAGAGGTATCCTCTCACGGATACCAGAAGTAGCAACCGCTCGCTTGAACATGATTGCATGAGATTTTAAAGATATTGACTCTTCAAAAGATAACACAATATCAAAAGAGGAGTTCTGGAATATTTGTAACCAACATTTTCAGCATCTGACAGAAGAGCAAGTAAGACAACTGTTTTATTTTTTATTGCTAATTTAAGTGTACAGCTAGGTAAATTGGCTCTGGCTATAGATATGTGTTTGAATGCTATTGTGTATAGGATAGAGATTTAACAGTTCGGAAGAAATGAAAATGTTTTAAGACTATCCCATGAACATTTCTTGCTACACTTGTGTGAGATTATTTTTTTCCTTATCTCTGACTGTGGCTGTGAACTGTAATAATCAGAGGCTTTCCAAAGCAAGGTCATGGAGATGCTATTGCTAATAATGAAGGTGTGAATTGAGAGTGCAGCAGCTCTCTTTGCCCAGCTCCTCATCTGTGTATTTGCTATTTTAAAAGTTTCTTTTTACAGTTTTAAGTTAATTCACTTCAAGGGTTGATGGGAGGGAAAAGGCATTGTCAGCCTAGAACAGAGAATACTTCCCTGGGGATCTAATGCACATTCCTTTTTCTCAGTAGATATTTTGTTCTGCCCTCTTTGGACAAAGAAAGGGGCAAGTATTTGACATTGATCAGCCATCTCTCAGCTACTTTTCTGAATTAAAGATTCCCCTAGATTAACACCAGCAGGGTTTACGTAACCTTGAATTTAGCTCCAGTGACTGGACTCATGACATGAATCTGACACTACAATCCACTTGATTAATCCTGTGCTAACCTCAAGGAACCTGATATTTTTGTCTTTGCTAAGATTCTGCTTCTACTGAGCTAACAGTGAAAACAGTCATTTTTTATCTTCGCTAATGCTGTTTCATTTTGAATTTTGCTGGTCCAAAGACAAGGTGAATAATAAAGAAGAGAGAGTAAACCTTGACTACAAGGTTTTACTTAACAGCACTCCAGCCTTCATGCCTGTGACTGTGTCAGTGTTTTTTGGCAGCAAACTGAAAGACAGGACACAATCTCCAAAGTCTTGTGCATGTCTACAAGCCAGAAAATTATTTTTGTACTTTGCTCATTGCAGATACGTGCTCTTATTTTTTGGCTCTGTATTTCTCACCAACACTTGTGACTACAAATTGCAGATAGGAGTGGGGCCTGCTTGTAATTACATCAGAGAGACTGTACAGTCTTCGGTATTATTGGGCACTGCTATGCATGTGTAAATTAGCAAATAAAATAAAAATAGCAAAATATTTTCTGCTTCACCCTTGAAAATAATATAAATAATATAAAAGAACAAATGATCTGTGTGCTTCAGCCCTGGTAGTCATACTGCTGGTGAGGCACCAAGCACAACTACTAAGGCTTTGTGAATCCTGAGCTTCCAAACCAGACAAAAGCAGAAGAGAAAACTTAGCGATATTGTTTCCTCATCTCTGTGAAGCACTGAGCAGAAGAGCCAGGGTTGACTTATGGCTGAGACCAGGCTAAGACAGGAGAGCAAACATACACCAACCATGTTGTGAAGAATCTCTTGTTTCTTTCCTTTTTGGAAGCAGTAAGGCAGGCATCTCCTGCTGAAAAGTCCTCCAGACAAGATCCTGTCTACTTTACAGTCAAGAGGAAGCAAAGGGACAGAGGAGCTATTTTATACTTTGAAAGAACCTCAGACAAGTTAAGAAAAAACTTCCTGATAGAAACTGTCATCCATAATAGCAATGAAAAGCAGGCCTGACGAGCCTCATTTATATAAGCAGCAGCCTCTCTGTGAGACTCAAGCCCTGTATGTTCAGAAATATTTCGATTTTGACAGGCCTCCCAAGGATATGCCTACGTATAGCTATATGAAGATGCCCCAGGAGAGCCTTCCAATCTGGGTGCAGGATTTGCCACTGCTAAACCAAACCCTGCTGTTCAGGCTGTAATAGCTGCTCAGAGTTGTTACAACAGTGTTACTAGCAACCATATTCTAGGTGACTTCAGAGAAAACGTCGTCTTTTATCCTTTTCTGGATGACAGTCACTTACTGTTTGCTGCTAGCAAGGCTAAGAAATCTATATCAAGTCGCAGCTGAAGACTTTCTTCCTAAAATTTAGCTTCTTGGTCTTCTGAATTTTTGTGACCTTTCTCGTAAAAAGTACAAACAGATGGGGCAAATGGGGTGTTGATTAATATCTTCCCAACTGACACCCCCCTTTTGATTACAGGCACTTTTCTCCTTTCTGCTTGAACTACCTTGATGTGCTTGAACTACTTGCAATCCCCCAAATCCCCCAAATTTCGTTGAGTGTTGAAATAGTTTCTAACTATAGCTAACCCAGCTCATCAGGGTATTGTTGTATTTAATTGAAGTTTGTAATACACTTTGAGATCCTCATATGAAGTGCAAAGTGTAATCACAAGTGCAAAATATAATTGTTTATAATTCATAATGTGGTAGCAGCCAGGCCAATGGGGGAAAGTTGAAAGGAAATTCAAAATGTATCCTTTGCCCTTTGAAGTTTGACTGCAACTTGGCTCATGCATCAAAGAGGTGACTAGTTTCCTTTAGGGTTTAAGTCTCTGCCGAAAAAGATCAAATCAAAAGCAATCTGAGGTTCCCAATTAGATTTATATTAAAAATCAATAATGAAGACCCTAAAAAGGCATACTGATGACTCTTGAAACACTTGCAAAATGAGTGCAGCTCATTTAAGGGCAGACTGTGATAATCCCTGCTTTGATTAGTAGCTTATATCGTGAGTAGTCCTATTAAATTCAGTGCAGCTACTAATGGAATGAAGGGCTGTTCAATGAAAAACAGCCCGGCCTCGTCCTTACAGAGCCATGCATCACTCAGAGAGCAGGGCTGCCCTGCCCTGCTTTGTGCCAAGCAGACACCCTATCTCCACATATGCTTTCAGTCCAGCAGCTGCTCCCAGGACTTCTATAGGCTGTCTGTATTGTACAGATACGGTTCTCAGCAGTTTATCATAACTATATGTGATTCTAAAGGCTGTAAAGATTTTCTGCTATATTCTTTCCTGCTGATTCCTTTATACCCTCAGGGTGAAATAATTTGTTGATGCAAATACAATAACTGAAGAACCTTAGTGGCCTACTGAGATGGTTGCAGAACTTAGGTGTAGCTGATAGCATGAGAAATTTGCCGCAATGGTACTTAGCTAGGATACATGTGCACTGTGGATTTGATTTACATCTCATGATAAAACATTATTCTTCTATATGGCAGCTTAATCTCTGTGTCTAATCACAAGACTTAGTAGTCTAAACGTACACCGAGGGCCAAATTCAATTAAAAAATGTCCTGCAGAAATCCCTTTTTCATTGTTTTCCCAGCCTTGTTCAGGCTTCTGTAGAGAAGCTGTGATTTTTAATGTTTTTTGTAATAAGATGGACCCTAGGATTCCTTCTGTTCCAAATCATCCTCTCCCTTTCTTTTCAATATACTTTGTCATATCCTTAGTACCTTAGAGGATTCTGGTTTTGTAAAGCTAGCATTTACAGCAGTTATCTTTCTTCATCAGTTTGAAAATCTTTGGAACACGGTGGATGTCGATGTTGGTGGATGATTGAAATATCAGAAATTTTTTAAGAAATTCAGCTCAGAACATGTAACAATGTCATCAACCACTCTCAGTGCTACCAGTCCTGAGACTTCTACCAAGCCAGTTACCGGTGCATCTTCTCAGCCTGAGCATCCCAAGACATCATCTTCTCTAGTGGGGCAGAAGAGTGTAAGTATGGTTGTTTTCTGAATTTTATCAATTTTCATTCCTGTGCATAGACTGAAAATAACAGTTTTGGAACTTAGTGGCAGTATTTCTATTGGTTGCCCATGAGATCCGGCACAGAGGCTGTTAATAAACAAATGGGGTTACTTGCAAAATAATTGTGTTACAGTGACAAAAATTGGGCTAATCAGTAACTCCCCTGAAGTCAAATCATGCATATCCATTTATACCAATAGCATTCCCTGCTCTTAGCTTGGACATATCCATCAGATCTATATGGCAAAAATTCTTTTGTTGTTTAAGTACAGTCACATTTCTGAGAACAAAGTGAACTGCCCAAACTACAACAGCCCAACAGCTGCAAAAGCAACAAAGCGACATAAAAAAATGTAAGCGGTTGCCTGACAAAGCCAGGCAGGACTGGTAGTTGCAGTTTGCTGGCCTGTGCAAAACATTCTTGTGGTCTTGCTCTGCTTTCTGGCAGATGCCAGAATTATATTTGCTGATGGCTGAGAGTCAGATTGGTAGACTTGCTAAGAAGACCACTGATCCAAGACAGATGAGAAAATTTCATGAGAAAGGGAGCAGTCTTGTTCCACTTTGGCATCCCTATCTATACTTACTATGTTAGTACTGCACTTTGGTCCCCTCAATTGCCGTTCTGGCCTCTTATGCTAGTGGCAGAATTGACAGAAATGTTAAGAAATAATTATTGGAAAAAATATTTGATATCCACTTGTGGAGTTGCATGTGCTTGTACCATGTTCTTTGACTACGACCAAACCTACAAAAGAAAAATAAAATATTAAAATTATTAAAGTCCTATAAAATGCTTGAGTTTTCTGACTACTTCAACATAGAGATGTTTAACTACTGAAAAAGAAATAACAGATTGAGCAAATTAAAGATGCAAAGAACTTGTCACAGCTGGTAAATCTAAACATAGGCCCATTGCTAGCTCAATTATTGCATTAACTGTAGGTTCTTTTGTGAAAAGCCAGACTATTAGCATGTGTCCTTCATGCTTCGATCCAGTTCTCAGAGAAAGCACTGGAAAATTTCTCATTACTCTCTGTGAATGCTAGATTGGATGGTGCAAGACCGTAGGAAAGGAATGTAAGTCTCCCAGAATGTATGGCTTTTAGGAAGACCCAGCCAGCCTGAACACCTATTAAGATTCTTCTCTGTGGCACTCGTTGCATGGAAATGTGAGTCCTCATCAATCCTGCACCAGTGAGACTCCTGTGGGAGCTCTGGGAGATCTCAGAAAATATGAGATTATTTGTTGGACCTAGGACCATAACTATGGCTTGTGCACCCAGCATATAGAAGTAGGCTGAGGCTGTACATCCAGCTCACCCAAAGTACTGCTGAGGCAGCAGTCAAAAAGATGCTAAGCATTGGGATCTTCTCACACTGTTCTTTCTGTGGCTCTGCCTGTGAGACCGCAGAACTGAGTTTTCTCAGTAAGAAACCAAAGCACCGTTATTGAATTATTCAGTGATTTTTCATTATTTTGTTTGTTCTAACATGGTATTACAGAGCTTTTCTAAATACAGTATCTGTTCTTTATTTAAAAATAAAAAGTTTGGAGAAACTGTAAATGATTTACAAGTAAGATAAATTTTTAAAAAGCGGTCAAGGCTGAGTAAGCAAATAGTGTCATTTCAACACTAAGAGTTTTCTAACATTTCTACCTACAGTTTTGCAAAAACAATTCAAATCAGAAGTGGTTCAGATGGTGCATTAGTTTCAATGCTGGAAGGCCAGAAACTGGATTTGTCATCTGGTTGGTTATCTACAAAATCAGTAAGACTTGGTAGACAAATTACTGTTATCTCTCGGTTTTAGACATCAGCATCCAGCCATCCTCAGACAACAACAGAATGTTCTGCACCTGTCCCTAACTGGGAAGAAATAGAAAATAAGATAAGAAAGAATATCCGGTGTTCCTGGAGAGACATACTGAAGCTGTGTCAAGAGAAGGATGTCAGCAAGATAGGAGAAATCCCAGTGTCCGACTTCCTAGGTTTGTTACCATCTGAAAAGTGCTTTATTCATTCTCAGATGTGTTCTGTTTTCTTTCTGGTGTTCTGGCTATAGGACGTCTGGCCTTCAGTCATGTGGCATTCACTGCATGGTTGCTCCAGGTCCCACCCTGCTAGTGCAGTGCAGAATAGCTTACTGTAGCTTTGGGTGCAATAAAATCCTGTTCCTATTTAGAATTAGTTGCCACTTAGAAAAGGAGTACATGGCTTTGCTTGTTGATAATTTCGGCTCATAGACAAGTCATCTCCTCACCTTCCTAGTACACTGCCCGTAGTGTTCCTGATGATGTTTGAATAACTTTGCCAGTCTTTTCCTTGTGATTTTTCATGTGCTTCTGGTTTTTCTGGTAGCGACAGCTGAATACCTTTTGATTTGAAAGGACCCTGGATTTTACCCTCAGATGAATTGAGCTACGCTGTTCTTATGTTGTGTTCTCTTCTTGAGAGAGTGTTCTGTGCTTTTGTTAGGACATCCATCCACATGTGTGATAACACAACGTACACTTGTGTAATCAAATGTAAAATCCTGGGTAAAAAAAAATAAATATGTTACCTTATCAGAAAATCAATTACAGTCAGTATCAAGGCATATTTCTTATGTGTGTAAATCAAAGTAACATGTTATTAGACTGCTGAAGCCCTGTGAAATGTGAACAGCTGTCTCTGTAAGTTTAGGCATATGTATATACCTGCATATAGCAATGGCTGTAGAATATATTTATGCAGAAGTGACTGAAAGTGAACACGTCAACATATCCCTGCTAAAACTTGTGAACACAATACATGATTGTCTATTTTTATGAGTGACAAAGTAAATGTTATTTCTGCATTTCTTTATTATTTCAGCTATAGCAGAGAAGTTCCATTTGGATTTAAGCAAAGAAGAAATTAACCAAATAACAACAAAATACGATATCAAGAAAAATGGAAAATTTGCATACTATGACTTCTTCCAGAGCTGTATCTTGTTGTTAAAACCACAGAAAAGCACACTGCTACAAAGAGTGATTATACCGAAGCCACAAAAACCGGTACATACAATGCTTATAAAAATCAAAATTACATTTCTTTCAGTTTCTGCTGCAGTGACAGAGTATTCCAGCATTCTCTTGTTTAATCCCATGACATTAATTTCTGGTATTCATTTGGTATCCCCTTCAGTATGAGGATCTAACTCCTTGTGATCATGCTCCGGTGTATCCAAGTTAGATGGTAAATTGGCTAAATGTGCTAAAATTTGAATAATTACTATCAGAAGAAAACATAGGACCTGAAGTTTTAAGAGCTTTTGTTGAACTAACTAAAAATCAATTTAGGAATAAAAAGTGCTGTGGATGTGTCATGGGATGGCTGTCATTCAGCAGGCTGTGTCCCAGCCCCATGCTCAGCCCTGTAGGAAAAGTATGGAGGCACCACTGTTACCAGTCACTAAAATCATTTTGTAGCCAGGACTGGTCAAGCGCATTGTATCCATGCAGCTGCCCTCCTAACACATACCTATTCCCCAAAAGACAAAAGAGGCCTAGCAAAACAATTAGCCATAGGCTGTTGCCCTTATGGGCAGGACATGACAAATGCCTATAGTAGTGATCTAAGGCAGGAAAGATGAAAAGAAGTGTAGAAGACTGGCTTTAGAGGCCCAGAAAGGAAGGCACTGGCAATAGTGTCCCGATCAAATTATGTAGTAGGAACAGTGCCAAAATCCAAATCTGCTCATTCAAGTGAGCTGTTTTTGACTGTGCCTAATTAGTTTAGATATGGTTAGTAGCAGCATTTTATAGAGAAATTACATTACTGAACTGTTTTCAGATGTGAAATGAACAGATTGCTACCAAGGTAAGAAGAAATACATTAGGAATTATCAAGTATTCACTACTAGTAGGGACAGTAAGGTAGAACTATTAAGTTTTGCATCAAAGAACCTCATTAACTTACATAAGGTTTCCTTTATACACAAATTTGATGCTGTAAAATTTCCTCCCGGTATACTGGAGTAGATAAAGAAGGAATTTTTGAGTCCCTATGTAGTTGTCTCAAATCACTTCATTTTATTTGTTCTGTTCAGAAAATGCAATGAAGGTCTCAGTCCATGTTTTGAGCATCTTTCTATAATGTAATATTCAAAGTGAAATTTCCTCATTGATTGTTCACCCCATTCCATCTAATAAGCAGACAGATGCACATCAAAAGGAATAATAATTAATAAGGGTAATAATAATAATAATAAACTTTTCCTTTATGTCATAGGCACAGTTCTTTCTCTAAAGCCTGAGGGAATCAATGGCCTAGGGCTTCAACAGAAGCATCAAGCCTCCACGCTATGAAAATAACCCAAGTTGCATTCGCTGTAAAAAGCTCCTTCCCTTATTTCAACCCACAAGAGTACTCAGTATTTGGGGTTGGAAATTGCATTATTCATGTATCCATGCATTCCTCAGCCACGTATTCTGAAGGCAGAACGCACCAAGAGCACAGAGCAGTGGTGTATCTGACCACCATGCCTGTTACAACACATATAGGTACAGTGCAGTGTCTGCCTGTGTCTGCCTGTGTTCACCTAACAGAGGTATAACATCCTCTGTATGTTCCTTCACAATGGGACATTTGTAGAGACTGTAGTAGCATCACATGTGCCTGGCACAAAAGTGGCATAAGTGACGTAACCAATGACAAGTGTTAGGGAGAAGCCTGAGATGTACCTAAAGAAATAAAATGGCAGCAGAGCAGATCCAGACCCTGAAGGTGGCTCCAGGCCTGCTGACTTTGGGTTCCCAAAGTCTCTTTTTCATGGCAGTACTACAGTAACATTTCTGCAGATCACATGTGTTCAGCGTGCAACATGTAATGAGCTTAGCCAGGCTAAAACAAGGAAAGACATTTCCTAAGGAAAATTAAGTCTATGTTCCAGCTATTTAACTGCAGAGGTGTTAAAAAACTATCTACAAGGTATTATAGCTATAGGGAAGAATGTAGAGTGGGGTTTTGATTTTCTTAAATCTGCTGCCCCCATAGTTGGATTATGCATTCAGTCATTCTAAAGCAAAAATTTCACTCTGGAAAATGAATGCTGCAGGGAATTAAAAATGCCTGAAAGAGGGAGTTGAAACAAGGACAAGCATAACACAAGTGAAAACACAGATCTGAGAAGAAGTGACACTGACTTCAGAATCAGTTTCAAATAATACAGTTAGGGCGTTGACAGTGATTAAGTAAATATACCATCTGCACTTTCCAAGAATATTAAAATGTCATAGGTTAAAATTATCTTATGTAAACAGTATCTTGCAATAATTTGTAAACAAGTACTTGGCAGCCAGTTCACCAATTAAGCCAGCACTACTTTCCAATACCTTCTCATTCTGCATTATTGTTCTGCCCAGTTGTGTCCATTGCATTAATGCTTGCCTTTCTCATCCAACTTTGACAGATGAGTCCTGGACCACAATCCATGTTGTTCTACAGCACAATGCTGAGAATTCAGCCCCAGATCTTGCACTGTTGGAGACCGCTGAAGCGCACTTTTAAATCCTATGATGAAAGTCGTACTGGACTGTTAAATGTTGCAGATTTCAGACAAGTAAGCTGTGTTGAGCAGTTAACAGTCAGAAAATTGCAGTACTTTAATGTGAGCTTCCTGATTGAAAATTTTCTGGAAAATGGTACCGAACTGTGGTGTATAAAGTCATCCTGGCTTCCCTCTGTAAATTTAGCTCTGACTATTACTTGCGGTAATCTTTCTCCACATATGATCATCAGGCTGAGGGTCTTAGTGGGGTCCTGCTATAACAGCATAAATAAAGCAGAGAAAATCTTAGTCCCTATCATAGAATCACAGAATGGTTTGGGTTGGAAGGGACCTTAAAGACCACCCAGTTCCAACCCTGAGCTGCGAGTGGGTTTGCTACCCATCAGCTCAAGCTGCTCAGGGCCTCATCTAACCTGGCAATGAATGCCTCCAGAATTGGAGCATACACAGCTTCTCTGGGCAGTCTGCTCCTATACAACCTTTAAATACAGAGCTTTCACAAATGCATAAGAATAGAGGTGTTGGCTGAACCAAACTAGTCCTTTGCGGAAAGTAGCTGCAAGATCCTGTAAACTTCCAACTGGTGTGTTCCCTTCTGAATGTGAAATGGGCCCAAGCAGTCCTCATCTGAGAGTCTCTATTACTGGTTTCTCTCTTCGCTCTTTTGTGTGGAGTACAGTTTTGTACTAGGGGAGGGATCCAAAAGCTCTGCAAATATTTTGGCACCTTGTATCCCCTCAAATTGCAAATACCTGTGTATTCTATATATGTATATTACGTCTGGAATTAATAGTTGCTTCTTCCTCTAGATCTATGGGGATTCTGGTTTTTACTCAGCTTAATCTTTACAAATTTCAATGTATTCTACATTGTTTTATTTAGGATTAGTAATCACAATGTGTTCTAGACGAATTGTGAATATTCGCTATTCAATTGCAAGAAAAAATTACAATGGGTCCCTAAACTCGTTTAATGCTGCCTGCATTGAGACACCCCTTGGTATTGTTATTGCTTTAAAGAACTGATAAACTGGTGGACGGGATGCTCAATCACAGCAAGCAAATGCTTAAATGCAATAAGTAATCGTGGGGTGTGATTCTGAAGCTTGCCTTCCCTGGAGCTGCAGAAAACCAGCTTGTTGCCTGGCACTGCAAAGAACAGCCTAAACCCCTTTAGATTATACCAGTCACTGAACTCCTCTGTAAATCTTTACTTATTTAGTATTAGTGGGAACATGATATTTCCTGGCACAGCCATGTAACTGAAATCTAAGTCCCTACGTGAAGACTGGGGGATGAGAAGTACCACTGTAGCCATATAATCTTCATGTCACAGGCTCCCTGGCTGTCACTACAGCTTTTTGCCTGCCTGGGTACTGCCTCAGGACATCAAGCTTAGGGGAGTAGGAATGAAGATCAGACCTGTTAATTTGTCATATTCCTCTAGGACATGTGATGATTATCTTTCCAAGTTAAAGCATTGTCAGCAATTGCAAATCAAGCGTCTTTAACATGACCTAAGCTTGGCTAAAATAAACAAATAAATATATACAATAACACCTCATGGATTTAGATGAAGAAGCTGTCCCCAGTTCCAGAATACTGCTACAAAGGTGTTAATCGGCCATTGACAAGATGGAAGGTGTGAAGGTACAGATCCCTTTATTTCCTAGGAAACTTAAATTTATTGGAATGGGGAAATTAGCACCCTCCTAACTTCAGTAACACTGCTATTTACAGCTGTACTAAATGCACAGGGCCATTAGCAACTTCAGATGCTGAGTTGTTAGGAGGGAGTTGCAAAGCAATAAGATCTTTCCAGAAAGCCAGTGATTAGTGGTGTGGCATACCACTACTAATGGCTTTGCTGGTCACTGGCAGGGCCCAAATTCTCAAGTTCAAGTGAAACCAGAAATGAATGTCTTGCTATGTCCTGCTCGCTTTCATGTTAGGGCATTATGAACATTTAAAACTGCAAAAGTACTGCAAAATGCACTGAGTGAAATTTTTAACGTTAGGTGAACCAGATTAATCCTGTTCAAACTGGGTAATACCTAAAGTGTTCAAAAGGTATGCCTATAGGCCAAGCATTTGTCCTGTGAAAAGTAAAAACATGGAGTACATGTGGGCTTTATTATGTCCATTGGGGTTTGCACAGTTTGAGTGACAGTGTTATTCCTTCTGTTTCCCTGGATGTGAAGACTGTAGATCATCCAAGAAGGATACAAAGGAAGACACTCCATCTCTCCATCCCATCTCCTAATAGTACTTAAAGCCCTCTAAACATGCGTTATTTGTAAATTTGCTTCTACACACATAGGGGCTCCCCATCTCCAGTGCTCCCCCTAAAGCAAGTGCTGTTTGGGATCGTGGACGAAACCCCCTGCATACGCAGATTTTCAGAAATGTATTCCAGGGAGCCAAAATTGACACGGAAGTCAAAGATAAAAAAGAGGATTTGATTTTCTAGTATTCTCAGAAACCTAAGAGAGGATAGGGCTAAATCATGAAGTTGTTTTGTAAAGAAATTTTGAGCATAACAGTGTTTTTATTACTTCCTCACCAAAGGAAGAATAAATTTTAAAGTTGCTTCTGTCTTTTACAGATTCTTCATGAATACAAAATCAACCTATCGGAAGAAGAGCTGTTTAACATTTTGGAATACTATGATAAAACTCTATCTTCAAAAATATCCTATAATGATTTTCTCCGGGCATTCTTACAGTAGGATTTGGTCAAATGCAGGAAACTGTAGATAAAGACAGTGATGGATTTACAATTTCAAATTTCAAACTAATAAATTAATTGAGAATGGCTTTTTGTATCTATTCATTAGAAAACTCAAAATACTTTAAAATTCTGACAGAGTGGTCCTGTGTTGTGGATTAGATCTACATAGCAAGAGAATTAATTTTGCATAATCCATTTATCAAAAAAGAGGCAACAATTAACATTGTCAAAATAAGGCTTCTTAAGACATCTCCAAAAGCTATTCTTTTAAGAAAACTCTTCTTTTCAATTTTACACATTTTATTAATGGCATATTCTAATTTCAGTGAAAAGGTTTACTAGGCATACTATTCAATTTCCTCAATTGTAATTTTCCAAACGTATTACTTTTAGTATATTAGCCATCATTATTCAAAAAAATCATCCCCTTTTGCAGTGCTTCTTTTTCCTGTACTTGGTGTCATATTTGTCTTGTCGAGGACATTAATTTGGAATGGCTATTAAGATGCCAACAGTGAGTTGACACCACACCTTACTGTATTAAAACTGTTCCTCTACATCTGTCAACAGTTTGGAAAAGAAGGCATCAACGAGTATTGGCTTCTTAACTGCAGATAGATTCCTAGTGGTAGTCATGAGGTTTTATTTTTTAGAGTACAGATATAAATTAAACAGTAAATTGCAAGTAAACCATTTGGTTATACTTCCCAATTCTAGCAAAATTCTATTTGAATATCTAGTGAGATACTCAGATCTTGGGAAGGAAATTAAAAAGTAATTGTTTTGATTGTTGAACTTCTGAGATAATTAAAGGACATATGATCATCAGAGCTTGCTTCCTGGCACTGTATCAACAACTAAACAATTACCTGATCTGAAGACTTGTTAGGTAAATATGTCACCGTTGGGTTCCTGAATTAATATTCACTGGTACACTGAAGAGCTCTGTCCTTATCATCTGTACTTACTTGGCATAACTCTTCCTCCAAAGTAGAAAAAAGTTTAGAAGTATTAATAAAGGAAAAGAAAGAGCAAGCTGTGTGGTTGTAGAAGCACGTATGAACATAGGCACACATGAATATATGGAAGTCTTTCAAATGGAAATGGAAGAACATAATCCTCTTTTTCTTATTGTTTCTAGTGAACATGTGAACCATTGCTATGAATCTGAAAGATTCCCAGCGCAGGCCACTTTAATGCGGTCACTCAGAGGGTGGTGATGCAGTGGAACAAGTTACCAAGGAGGTTGAGGAAGCATTCAAGGCCAGACTGGATGTGGCTCTGGGCAGCCTGGTCTGGTGGTTGGTGACACTGCACATAGCAGGGGGTTGAAACGAGATGATCATTGTGGTCCTTTCCCACCCGGGCCATTCTATGTTTCTATGAATGTCTGTTTTTATGAAAAAATGGTTCCGTGCATTTGGAGCTTCCAGGAGATTTACAGAAAAAAAAAACACTGGGAATGTTTCTGATTGGACCTGTAGATGCAGGGTGTAGATGTTCTGTATTGTTTTTCATATAGCTTCTAGGATACTCCAGCATAAAATAAATACATTTGGCATTGGATGTATTTGAAATGGTAACATAAAGAATACTTGCTAGATTTTTTCCTCAAAACTGATGGCTATCTGTAAATCCCTGTAATTGATACTTAGATGATTAGCAGAAGAGATTGTGACTATGGTTATTAAAGGCTGTCCTCCCACACTAAGCTAATACAAAAATTCCTAGTTCCATTGCTAGAAAAGAGTGCATCTTAGGGATACACATACCTGTAAGTGACTGAAAAGCGTGGGTCTCGGTGCACAGCTGTTGTGGCATGTTAGATGTTCCCACCGGGCATCTCCAGGTGGTCCTGCATTGACATCAGCCAGCCCCACAGGAATGTCCCACTGTCTGAGGTCATCTCAGGCTGCTGCAGGAAACTGTGTTTCAGCACCTGATTTGAGCCCACGAGGGGTTCAGTTTAGCCCCATACAAGAACCAATTAGTCTGGCCTTTTAGTTTTATTTTCATAACTGTTGTGAATCCACAAACTGCTCTCTTCTTTAATAGCAACTTCTTCCCCCAACCGTAATCAGGTGCAGCATGCCTGATTTAATTTCTGTTATTATTTCATGCAGTTTATGTCCTGAATTAATCATTCATACTCATTAAAGAATTAATTGCTGTTCAGAACAACCTAAAATTGTAACACAAATACTACAATGATTCGTTTTTAAATAGTGGATTTCACTGAACTGTTATAATGATGGCCAAAAAAAAAAACCAACAAAACTACTTAAGTAATCATTGGTGGTTATGTTTTTGTGTATTTTTTTTTCAAATACACCAACACCTTCTATCTGACAGTTGGATCCAGTTTTGTACCAAATATAATAAGGTTTCCATCCCCATGCTGTTACTTGGCAAGGAGTGATGTTGTGAAAGGATGAGGGCACTGTGTCCCTGGCTCTGCCACCTTCAAGGTACCTGCCATCTTCAGGAGACATGCTGTGGCCAGGGACATCCCTGGGCTTCTTGACACGTTGTGCCAGAGGATTTTTCATTAGTTCCACTGGCAGGAGTATCAAATCCAACAACTCCAAAGGGATTAAAGAACAATCTTTTCACTGTACGAACAAATCAAATCATGCTGGTTTTTTTAGTGAGTTTTTAAAGGCAGAGATGGCACTTGTCAACTGTTTATCCAGCCTCAAAAAAAAAAAAAAAAACCCAAAGTGAATTTCAACTGCCAGCATTTCAAAATAACCAAGGTAATTTTTCATATTAAAATCACAAACTGCTAGATGGATCAACTTTATAATGGAAGAGAGATTTTTAAGCAACCCTTTCCCAGAAACAATGGCCAGTCATCCAGCACCGGCAGGCTTGCTGGCATCCCATTTGTTTCCACTAAGAGGTAGATAATGTCAGTGGGATTGAGTATTATCCCTTGGTAACAGTCCCCTGCTGCTACACGTAATCACTGAGGCAGTTATGAAAATAAAAAACGTCAGTGCAAAGGGAGGAAATGTCACTGCTGAGCAGAGGACACTGATGCCTGTTTTCTGCCATCCCAGGAGCAGCCTTCAGGGGAAACACAGGTAGAGGGACAACGGGGTTTGGAGCAGCATCTCCTCCTCATGAAAGGCTGTAGAACCAAAGTCAAGGGTCTGTGGGGGTGATTCAGCTGTGCATTACAACCTGCTTCCCACCACAGCCCTTCTGCCCAACCTCATGTTGCTGCTATTCTGTCCCCAAAATGGTGCCATTGCTGCTGGGTACCAGAGGCATAAGGTGCACCAAGGATAGAGAAGAGCTGCTCCTTCAACAGTGCTTTTAACAGCACTTTAAGTTCCATTTAAACCACTTCTGAACAAAATAAACTAACCAAAGGAGACTGAAGTTGCTGGTCAATCTGCCACCTCACAGAAGCCTCGTGTTCCTACCAGATCACCCATCCACCTACTCAGAAAACCCACTGACAGAAGGAAACCTTCAGAGATGTGTGCTGTGGTGGAAGCCTCCCTCGAGCAGCCCACAGGACCCGCTCACTGCCAGCAGGATCAGAGCCTGCACAACAGAAGAACTCATGCCAGCCAAACCCCGTAGGATTTCCAGACAATTAAAGTAAAAACAAAAATGAATTTTGTACCTAATTAGACTATGAAAGAGGAATATCTTTCACTGCATTCTCTTCCTCTTGGACATCTCTCACTTTGAAGCTCCTGTGACACCAGCAGCATGTGCCACCATTGCCAAGTACTGGGGCCTGACCTGGGGCAGGCAGCAGCTCAAAAGGGGGCCCTTCCTGGGCAGGGCAGAATCACAAGGCACAAGAGTTGCTTGCTGGGAGCATGAGCAAGTAGGGAAAGAAAAATGAGATGGAAAACAGTTAGCAGAGGGAAGTTTATAGACTTTGTGGCACTATTTCTATTCTAGAGCTGCTGGAGTGGGTTCCAAAGCTGTTGGAGCAGGTCCTGAGGAGGTCACAAAGATGCTCAGAGGCTGGAGCACCTCTCCCATGAAGAAAGGCTGAGGGAGTTGGGCTGGTTTGTCTGGGAGAAGAGAAGGCTCCAGGGTGACTTCACTGCAGTCTTCCAGTACTTCAGGGCAGCTTATAAACAGGAAGCAGAGTAACTCTTTCTATGTCCTAATAGTGGTAGGACAATGGGGAATGGCTTCAAACTAAAAGAGGGGAAATTTTGGTTAGATGTTTGGAAGAAATTCTTTACCCAGAGGGCAGGGAGGTTCTGACACAGACTGTCTAGAGAAGCTGTGGATGCCTCATCTCTGGAGGTGCTCAAGGCCAGGTTGGATGGGGGCCCTGAGCAGCCTGAGCCAGTGGGTGGTAATACTGTCCATGTCAGGGATTGGATCTCAGTGATCTGTAAGGTCTCTTCCAACCCATGCCATTCAATAATTCTATGTTCTATGATTCTATGGAGCTTGCAGGACCAGAAACAGAGTCTCTCTGTGCTCAGAGGATGAACAAATAGAGTTGAGATAGGGTTAAGGTAATCAAAGGGACTGAAAAGAAAAGGAGTTTCATAGAGCCCATCTTTTACAGGCACACAAGGCTAGAAATAGAGCATGCTTTAGAAAAAAATCAAACTCCTCCAGAATGCAGTCATTTGATTTGTTTGATTAAGGCATTACCATGTGAAGTACCTATATCTCTGTGCAATTACTGTTTTTATGTGTATGATATACAGCAGGTCATGTGCAGTAAAGGATGCTCCAAACATGGCAAAATGAAAATCAGATAAAAAAAAATCCATTTGCTAAAAAATAATTTTCTTCTGTTTTTGAATTTTTCTATACTAAAAGCTGTCATGCAGTGGAAAGAGCATTATTATGCTGTGAAAAGAGACATAAAAAGAATTTTGTATTATATCAATACTTAAAATATGCAAATATGATACCTTCCCAACGCCCCAAAATTATGCTTGGCATGAATTCTTAGCAACAATACAAATATCATCATCTTCAAATAAGCAGGTTTAACACGCTGCTCAAATACCTGTAAAAACAACCTCATCACAGCTCTGGGAGCATCCAGATTTCATCTTTGATGTAGTTAGATTTTAAATAGGAAAGGTAA